GAGGTGCACAATGGCAATATGTAATAAAGATTCTGTGAAAATTCCATCAAATTTCATTCAGTAGTACACTCTGTATAAGAGGCTTTGCGGATAAGAGATGGGTACCCCAAAGCGTAACAGACGGACTGACGGATGGACATACCGATTACTCTATCCCCTCCTGCTTTTCAAGTGGGGGTATAAAAAACTTTGATATCAAGACAGCAGCTCTTTTGTGACCGCGTATAGATTTGTTGTCTTTTAGGGTAGGAAGGTCATTCTATTTGATAGAGAATTCTCAAAATTTATCATTTGGAATCACATTGTGTGCATATTTTGGTGAGAAAAATTGTATACTTATGCAATATAAGAGCGCCTGCAGATTCCTCGTGATTCCTATCACGTACAAGCTTACATATCAATAGACCAATTTAAGGCATTCTTGACTTTGTTTATGTCAACACTTCTCTTGACAACAAAATTTTCTCGAACACTCCAAGAACTTTACATGTACAAGGTAACTTGACCCACACTTCTTTGTTAGGATAGTGTAAGGTTTTATCAAGAATCGAGGGGGGATTGAATACAAACATTTTTTTCTTTCAGATTTTGTAAATTTCAAAAGTTTTTAAATTTATATACACTGTTCAATAAAAGATTATCCGTTCACAGCATGAAATATTTGAGAATGCAGTTGAATTTTTGAATGAGAATAACAAAATGCAAATGTAGGGACACAGACTCAGAGCTTGACAATCAAAAAAATTTATGGTTTACGTATATTATACTGATAATTAAGGTCTTCCGTTTCAGACGGAAGACCTTATAGCGATTCTACTGTTTTTTCTTTTTATTATTATTATTATTTTTTTCCCTTTTTGTTTTGCCGATTTCTCGGAGATGAGTGGACGGATTCAGATGAAATTTTCAGAGATGATAGAATGTCAAAATATCTTTCTAATGCAGTTTCCAGTTTTTCAAAATTCACTTCCGCTCGTCAGTTATGTCCAATTTCCGCTTTTTTCAAAAAAGTTTTGTCCGAGTCATATCTCAGAAACGGTAAGAGATTTGGACACCAAACTTATATGAGTAATAGATCTTGATAAGTAGGCAAAACCAATTGGGTTAACATCGTCCGCCGTCACTTCCGGTCGTCACAGGAAGTGATCAAAGAAATCGAAAATTTCAACTTTTTATTTTTTGAAACTTTTTTGCATCACATTATAGCATCTTGTTTGTTGTTTCGAAATATATAAAACCCACCGGAAACAAAAACGACAACTTCCGGTTATAAGAGAAAAACTGCATATTTTCAGTATTTTTCTCTCCCATAAATATTTTTTATGCGTAATGTATTTGAAATGGTTTTTGGATATGTTATTACCGTCTTCCTTGGAAGACGGTATTGTATAGTTGAAGTTTTTTTCAGTCTTCGGACTATGTACTTCCTCTCTTTTGTGATTGGTAGAAATTGCATGATGAGAAAATTTTCAATTATTTCATTGGTTGAAATGTTGTTCAGGGCAAGGGAGATAACTTTCTGATGATCTAATTTTCGTACGACTTAACAATTTTGCAAGATTTCCAATCTTAAAAAAAAATGACAAAACGAACAACAAAATCAGCGGTTATTGTTTCTTAATAACATGCTATTTTATATAGCAGTAAATAAAAAAGGTCTCTTTGATTTCATTATGAATAAAATTAGATTGTTAATGCTTGCAGGCTTTACAATTTGTTATTATTCTTTTCCCCTTTCTTGTTTGAAGAGAGAATGGGAATCAGCCGAGGTTTGCCGAAAGCTCTCAGTCAAAGTTTACGGAGATGACCGAGCGACAACCATGGTAGGGCTAATGCCCGTAAAAAAGCTAATTTAGAAAAACAAAATCAAGAAATTCAAAAAATTATACGGACTGATAAGTGTAGGGCTGTTTACTGTTTAAAATTGTTGCTAAAGACGGTTAGCTTTTTTAAAAAGCTCTACTTGTTCAGACTACAAATGTCAACAGTAACGTCAAATATCTTTTTAAAATTCACTTCCGGTCCCGTGATTTCCGGTCCTCAAAATGAGAAGTTAACATAGCTAGATCTCGTAAACGGTAAAAGATAAAGACACCGAACTTATCTAGATTGATAGGTCTTGATAAGTAGGCATTATCAGTTGTGATAAAATTGTCCGCCGTCACTTCCGGTCGTCAGAGGAAGTGATCCAAAAAATCAAAATTTTCAACTTTTCTTTTATGAAACTGTTTTAGCCTAACATTATAGCATCTTATTGGTTGTTTTCAAAGATTTCAGTACCACTGGAAACAAAAAGAGACAACTTCCGGTTATAAGAGGGAAGCTACATAATTTTAGTATTTTTCTATCCAATAAATATCATTTATTTATTAAGTATTTGTAATGATTTTTGGATATGCTTTTCAGACTGCAACTGTCTACATTAACGTCAGGAAATTTTTGCAAAACTCACTTCCGGTCGTGTGATTTCCTGTCCTCAAAATGAGAAGTTATCATAGCTTGATCTCGTAAACGGTGAGAGATTAAGACACCAAACTTAATAAAGTGGTTAATCTTGATGAGTTGGCAAAAACAATTAAGATAAGATTGTCTGCCGTTACTTCCGGTCGTCACAGGAAGTGATCAAAGAAATCATGAATTTTAACTTTTCTTTTAGGAATACTTCTTGGCATCACACTATTGCATCTTAATTGTTGTTCCGATATATGTCCGTCCCAAAAGAAACAAAAACAGCAACTTCCGGTTATGGGAGAAAAACTTTATTAATTGAGTATCATACTATCCCATAAATGTATTTTATAGAATGAGTATTTGAAATGATTTTGGACACTTTATTCAGATGGCAAATGTCTCTAGTAGCTACAAATATCTTTTTAAAAACTGACTTCCGGTCACATGATTTCCGGTCCTCAAACTAAGTAGTAAGCATAGCCAGATCTTGGCAATGGTAACAGATCAAGACAATAAACTGATATGAATTTATTAATAAACCTTGGAAAAGTATTACAATTGCTTTTATATATCTTTCCCCGAAATAACCTTGACCTTAGACTTTGATATTTGACCTTGACCTTTGACTTGACCTTACTCAAGAGTCTAAAAAATCTTTATTATATTTAGTTTGATTCAGCTTCAAGTGTTAAACTAAAGTTGATAAGTGTTTTTATGACCTTGAATATGACCTTGACCTTTTACCCCATTCACCCAAAGGTCAAAATCAAGCTTGAGTTCGTGGACATATTTATTCTAATCATTTTTCTACATCAAATATCACATCAAACAGGGATAATATCAGTTTTTTAAGAAATTTGACTCGGACTTTACTACGAAACTATTTCTTTCACTACGAAACTACTTCCTTCAACCTTAAAATGATAAGTTTACAAAATACCTTTTTTGTTGTCGAGCTCGCTGGCTCAGTGGTTAGCGTGTCAGACTTTCATTCTAATGGTTTTGGGATCGAGCCTAGATGGAGGTTTTTTTTTTTTTTTTTTTTGCATTTTGTCCTTCATTTATTTTTTTTGAAAAGAAAAATATCCTTCTTACAGATAAATAGAGAAGAACGGAAGACCTTATTTGTTGCTGTAGCAACAAGAGTATCTAGTTCTTAATAAATATGTTTACATTTTGATAAAATATATTCAGATTTATATGATGTAACAATCACTAGAACTTTAATTCTTCGTAGTCCATCATTCTAAAAATCATACGAAGTTGCACTAGACCACATGCTTCCACATGAACATAAAAACATTTATTTTTTTCTACACTGGACTAAAAATAGATCAAAAAATTCCAACAACTGATATGATTTAGCAACCCTCGAACTACAATGTTCACTTGCCTTAATGCTCAGAGAATACTGCACTTGGGGTAGCTTAATTTTCATATTGTCCTCAAAACAGCCATTATTGTATGATATTAATTTTTTATATGAAGAAGCATGATGAGGCAAGTAATAGGTAAAATGTCTTCGGCATTGTCGTCAAAAATATAATGTTATTGATAGAAGTATTAAAACAAAAATCCATGTTATAAAAATCCTAAATCGTTAACAAAAGTGTCCTCCAACTTTCATAGCATTTTTGAACATTATTACATAAAAAAAACTGTAATTTATTTTTTGCAAAACAAATCAGGATTAAGCAGTTTCGGTATTTTACGAAATTCGAGTGTATATGACGTCACTTGAATTGCCATTTTGAGCTAATTAACACATTTCAAATTTAAACGACTAAATTTTCCAATGTAAAATGATTATATAAGTGTTCTATTGTCAGTTTACATAGCTGTACTACGCTCAGTATGATATTCACAAATCCTTTCTCCTATGTAAACGACGTTAAGAAATAATTTTAAAAAATGAAAAGCCGTCATTTTGAATCACCATTTTGACTTTTAACTTACAGCTGTACCATCATTCAATTGTAGAATAGTGAGATGCAGAGGGAAAAATTACAAATCTGCAGTGTATGGATATTTGCAAAAGTAAAATAATGAGCAAAGAAGAATATAGAAGCAATTAACAAATAAATCAAAGAAAATTCGAATTAAGTGAAGAAACGACTAAATTTTCTGAGTTAAACTAATAATGTTAGCATTGTATTATATTTTTTACAGTTTTATTACACTCAGTTAGATATTCACTTATTACTTCTCCATTTCGAAAGACATTAAGAGAAAATTAGAAAAATTGGATGTCCGCCATTTTGAATTGCCATTTTGACCTCTTTAATGTCATTTTCATGAAGACCAGCATATTTTTTCGGATTCAGCATACTCGAAATAGGTTAAAAAACTATGCTGGACCAAATAATAATTATTTGCCGTTAGAAGTTATTTCTAGCCTTCTTTTTAAAAATCAGGAACAGACTATCGTAAAAAAGTGTCGAATGTTTGTTCAGAGATGACATTTTCAATATTTCAAGACCATGTCTATTAGACGATAAAGCCTATGGCATTATTTGATTTGAAAATGTTTTTTTTTAATTGTACTTTACCAACAGCGTATTGAAGAGAAAGAGGAAATGGATCATCTGCATCAATAAAACTGCTTGCATTCCAGGTGACGACCAAGTGTCCATTTTGATGCCTTATTTTTACTGGTGGGGAGAATACTGGCGGTGTTGTATCAACAAAACAAGGTCCTAAAGACTAGATAACATAATTAATGAAATTATATACTGCTTTCGAACTTAGGATACAAAACATTTATTCTATAAGCAATTCAAAGGGAGATGTCAAGAAAAAACCATATAAGTGATCTTTTTTGTTAATAGAATAACGCAAGGACTATATTCATTTAGATTTTGAATTTAATTATCTTTTCACATACATGTATCTTTCTTACTAAACGAAAATGTCACATGAAGGTATGGGATCTGCCTAAAAGTTTTTTCTCGCAGTGTACGCGTGTACTACCTGTATTCCCTGAGTGTTTGTTTTGCCAATGGTTTTAATGACAAAGTAAAAAGGTTCTCCTTCTGGTATATTAGTATGCATCAAATGAATACGGCGATGCTGATTCGTAGATCTGAATGCCATCAAATCTGGAGATGGGCTTCCAGCTTCTGTAGCTAATCCAACTTCGTAATCATGTATGTTTGTTTCATTGGCAGACCAAGTGATGATGATCTACCATTAAAAAAATATGTCTACATCACAGAACAGAACAGAACTTTGAATTTAACAACTGTTTAACTGTTAATGTAGATTTTCTAACGAGTTTGCTGTTCTTCACGTCAGATCATTACCAAATCATCCTTCATTAAAAGGGTTTAACTTTAATTTATAATGCATTGTTCTAAAAATTTAAAAACATCCTTCTTTGTTCGTCATTTTTTCGCAATATTTGAATAGTAGTAAATATTAAAACATTGAATACGCACATGTGATGATTTAGATAACACAATACTTAAAATGGCGGCTTTGGAGGAGGTATTGGAGCAGAAATCTGAGCCATTTACTTGAACATAAGAACCATTTTGGTGATATTCAACAGGAAAGATGTCAATGTCAGACAATGGCACAGCTTTTCTCCTGATTATCAATAAATTAAATAAAATGACTTTCAGAGCCTGTTTTTTTTATTTATATAAATTTGAATGAAATATGAAGAGAACGGACAGATATCTAGCCATTAAGTCTATTGAAACTAAACAAATCGCAACCAGAAGCGGAGAAAAATTAAAGGACAAAAACTTACACACATTCATCTGTAGGATTAGTGATTAATCTTCTGTGTCTGTTTTTACTAATGACCCAATAATTTGTTTTCCCTATGTCTGTAACCAAACTTTCCCTAACGTAAGCATTGGTTATGTCCACCTCTGACACAATTGGTACCGTTGTAGTCACTGTAACGCCGTCAGAGCAGATCGGCTTAGAGGGTTCCAGAGCTCGATTGTAGGCGACAACACAAACGTAATACGTCCCCTCAGTAGCAACTGTGTAAGATACTTCTGTTGCATATGTTTCCCTTACCTACAAGTGCAGGAACACTGAATTTTTGTAGAAAAAATAGAACAAAAATTCATTTCTTTTCATGACCTTTATGAGTTCTAGAGAAAAAGCTAAACTTAATTTTACAGATAATTTGGTAATAAAAAAAGGAAAATGTTTAACCGTTTCGGTACTGCAGTTTTATCACAACCTCTTACAAAAAACTTACAATATGATTGTTTGAATTCAATTGAAAAGCTACTGCAGGAATTGGTTCCGTGTGGAAGCCATACATGTAGAACATGACACCACTCTCTTTGTCAAAGAATCCGTCCCAGTGAACGTTTAATGTCTTACTTTGTTGGAAGTCTACCTCACTAGTTCCTCTGATTCCGTCTTGTACAGTTCCCGCATGTGGAGGTGAAATGTCAATTGTTATCTAGCAAACATTAGATAGAATAGTATTTAGTATTTTTATAGGTGACTTTTCAAAGACTATGATCAGAGCTTTCTCTCTTCTGTAAGTAACTCTTTTCTTAATTGCTGCATTCCTGACTAAAAAAATTATTTTCATTACAGCTCCGATAGAAACATCACACATGTACCTTTTTGGTTAACACTGTAGATAGTAAAGCTTTGTTTGTTGCATTTACTTCAAGAAAATAGTCTGAGTCATGTAAGCCGTTATCTTTGCCATGGACGAGTCCTCCATCTCTCTTAACCTCTGGTTTTACTTGAAAATGTCTATGATAAGCTCCCCAGTGATTTGTTTGGTAGCAGTTTGGTCCTCTGCTATAGTTTCCATAATTCTGAATACATTCAGTGATATCCTGTAGAATAATTATGCAACGGAATTTCATATTTATCATATATTATGACAACATTCTAATAATGTTATACAAGTGATAAAATGAAATTGCAAATTTTAAGTCAAAGTAATACAATTCAAAGGATTTTAAACAATGAGATGTCTTACTATAGATGATCCTTGGGCAAACAAATCTTCGTGGCCATGAAGAATATTTTCTCCGGTAAAATTATCGTACAATCTCCAGTAGATGCTATCGATGCCACTGTGGTAGTCATAAGCCAACCATTCAATTCTTAATTAACAAATGTATTAATTTTAATAGCATTAAAGAAATCAGGAAGTCGAGGAAAGTTTTTTAATAATGTTTTGAAGAAGTCCATGGAATTTGATGATAAATGTAATATTATATGAATTTCTTATGATGAATACTGTTTAAAAGATTTGTTTTGTCCGTTTTTATTGGCTGACAAAAAAAATTCAAAAGGAACTGAACAGAACAATTAAAACATGACTTAAATAATGTTAAAGTAATAATTAAAAAAAAATCTAAAAGGTTTTACGTCATTTCTGTGAAGTCCTCAAGTCTGTGTACACTGACATTCAGTCTGTCCCCGCGTGTCAGCCACAAGTTCTCTATAATCGGAGGAGTGGAGTCTCGATAAATTGTGAGAGTGTCATTTAGGGTCTTGTTAAAAATATCTATTGCAACAACCGTGATGACAGCTTTATCTCCATCTGACCAGTCCATTGTTAGAAACTCAGACTCAGTGGAGATATCGTTTACTGAAGATAGCGGTCTAGAGTCTTTTAAACCTGCTCCATCATAAATGGAAAACTCCACCATGAAATTAAGACACCCTGTAAAAAAAATACAAATAATGAAATATGGTGCGATTACAAAAATTGGTCATGGCTAGGTTCAAACCATGAATTCTTAAGACGAGTTCCTTTTAGCCACTACACTATTCATAAAGTTGCTTGAAAACAGTAATAGTGTGCATTTTTAATGAATATTTTCAAAATAAATATCAAGATTATTATTTCAATAATGTTTGATGTCTATAATTACATCATCATAGCTTCATATCTTAAATCTGTAATAAAAAATAAAAAAATAAAACAATATTTTAAAAACATTGAAATTTATGTCCATGGCATTATATTTAAAAAATACGTATAAATACAATTCATAGTTTATCATTCCGTTAGCTAGATAACTAAAAACAATTGAAATACATACCGTAAACATTGTTAACTTTTGTGATGGGTCTTCGTCCCGAGTAATCGTCATACATTTTCGATATTCCATGGCTTGGTGAGACTTCATCAAGCCATTTATTATGGTCATGTAAAACATTCCGGAACCTTTTAGGCCACTGTACGTTGACAACAGTGGTATTATGAACTACCCATGTATAGTTTGTTTTTTCGGACCCAGTTTGGACACGGGTTACATAATGAGGGTTATGTGATACATGGGGATTACTGTCATAAAGAACAAGACGTCTAGTGGTTTTATAATTTCCAGCTCTATCATACACAGTCAAGTGTATAGAAAAAAGACCTGCAGCTCCTGGGAGTATTAATGTTTTCTATAATAAATGTTACGAAATATTGAATTTTCTGATTTGAAAATGAATTATTAAGATGACAAACTCAAAGGGCAATTGAAACGACACAAATCAGGAGCAAAGCTAACATGGACCTAAACAAACATTAAAAACAAAATGTGTCTGTTGACCATGTTGAAGAACAGTTTATAGCAAATTATCTTTTAAATGAAATAAAAACATATTACGAATGATTCATTGAGATAAATGGTTCCAATTCCATTTTCTTTGATAGGACCATCCTCCTTAAGTAAGTTATTTCTGCTTGAAACTGACTGTATCTCATAATGGTATTCCTTGATTCCTGCCAGGTCATCATACCAATCATCCCACGTTATTGTAATTGTAGACTAAAGTTGCAAAAAAACAAAAAAAAAACAATGGTCTTTATTTAGTTTCTTTCTGAGTTAACTTTATATTGACTTTAAGATAGTTTTTGAATTAATTCGAATTACATTTTGTCAAGTTCGCAAAAAAGTAAGAATGATGCTCATTTGTGTTTCCTTTATTCTGTATTTCAACATATTTGTGACATTGATACATAGTATATGTACATAACTTTATTTAACTATAAGGTATTTAAATATACTCAAAGCTTACATTTTCTGTCAGTTCAGGAACAGTAAGAGGCTCTTTGCAATCATCATTTATTGTTTTTGCAGATTCTATACAGTGATAAGGAAGAACAAAGTCCCAGCGAAAGACATATTGTAGAGTTTTGGTGGTTCCCACTAATGAATGGGTCTCATTGTATTTCTTTTCTCTATTTTCCATAACTAGATGTCCTCCAATTTTCGCCACTATTGTAAATGATAACCTACAAGTAAAGTGAGTCATAATTACATGTATTAAACAATATGTATTTTTCACATTGTTTTCTTGACCTTCCATTTACACTTAATTTAATATCTATTTAAGAAATCAAACGACTTTCTATTGATATTTATAGTGTTTTTGACATTAAGAATTCGGTAATTGTTTTTTAAATGGGATCATCATTCTGTGAAACAACCTTTTTGGTCAGATACAAAAATTACGCCAATGTAACGCTTTGACAATGCTCGGAAAATTTGCGACTGTGTGCTTGGCAAAATTAAATCTCAAGCCGAAAACGGGACGTTTACAAAACTTGTATTTTGGATTGTAAATGTTAGCAAACTGGAATTGTATTTTACTTATGTTTTTATTTTACAAAATTAATGCATGTTTTTAAAAAAACAAAAACAAAAACATGGTACGTACGTATCTCCGGTGCTAAAATTGAAAGGTTTCGATCCAGATTCCAGTAAAAAATCTTTTTTACATTGAAATGGAGCTGTTGCTGGTTTTTCAGATGACGCTTGAGAACATCTGTATGAATTAATAACCTGAATTTCTCTTGGAACTGAAATTAAACAATAATAATAATTTTGTTAACACTTTAATAATACAGAAATTAAATATTTCATTTGATCTTTTTTTCTTGTAGTTATGTGTATTGTGCTACCATGAGTGACATTAAAGGTGGTTTCCTCTGTAGAATTCGTTTCCTTTGACGAATTGGACAACCCCATTGTGTTTGTTGTATTCAGCATTGTTTTTACTGTATCCCAAACAATAGAGGTGTAATTCAAAGTAGTAGAGGCATTTATAATCCCATAAACAAACTTTCTGATATAGTGGTCTTTATCTGTATGCAACCTCTCTTTTATTACATATTTAGCATTCCATATCGTCTCTACAATGTTCCAGTCTTTATAGTTAGACCATACCACAGGATGAGGACCAGGGTCTACCGAGTCTGAGGGATTAGTCAACACATGGTGGTTGTGTTTTAGCTTGAAGAGATTGTCAAGAATATCTGCATATTCTGTCACTGCAAATATAAAGAAATAAAAAAGGCCACATCGATCACCTGAGCACTTTTGCTATGAAAAAAAGCCAAAAAAAAAATCAGTATAATATTAAAATGCTTAAGTGCATAAGTGGTCCCGACCTACCCCTAAAAGGTTGAGGGGGAATGATTTGAACAAAATTGAATCTTCATTAACTAAAGGGTGTTAAGAAAGTTCATTCCACATTTTTCTTTTATTTTCGAAAAGAAATACGATGAGATGATATTTACAATTTTAAATTTTAAACAAAATTAAATTATTCTATACATTCACTAATTTTAGTGCTTTAAAGATGTTAATATACATTGTATATATTTTCATATTGAAGAAAATCCCTATAATTTCCTGCTGGAAATGAATTGCTATAAATCTAAAGCACACTCTTGTAATTTTGTCAGACTTGAAAATTCATCTCGTTAGTAAAGCACTACTTTGAATTTTTAGAAAATATTTCATCGTGGAACTAACTTTCTTAACATCCATTGAAAAGGATGCTTACATATTTCTTTTAACTAACTGTGATTTTTTTCCCGACAAGTTTGAGCTTTCATTCCACCCTAGCCCTGCGAGTCTTGATTTGATACATACTTGAATCTACACTACTTGAGGATTCTTCCACAATGATATATTCTAAAGATTTTCCCTATATAATCCTATGTGGAACTTTGATCGTCAATTGTGGCCCCACCCTACCCCCGTGGTCATAATTTAAACAAATTTGAATTAACAATACCTGAGGATGCTTTCACATAAATATGACCAATCATTTGCTTGCTGTTCTTAAGAAGATTTTTGAAGACTTTTCCTGTATACTCCGACATTAAACGTTGATCGTTCATTGTGACCCACCCTACCGCGGGGGTTATAATTTAAACAAATTTGAATTTACAATGATTTGACAATGATTCGATATGAGTTTCATCTTTTCTGGCCCATTAGTTATTGAGAAGAAGATTATTCAATGATGTCATTAATTGTTAGCTATTTCGTAATAATTTCGCTTGGAGGAAGACCTGACCCTTCATTTGAACAAACTTGATTTCCCTACACCCAAGGATATTTTCTGCCAAGTTTGGTTGAAATTGGTGGTTCTGGAGAAGAAGATGAAATTGTGAAAAGGTTACGACGACAACGGCGACAGACATAGGACTAATTTCGATCAAAAATTTTGAGCTAAAAATACAAAAAAATAAGTAAAGCAGAAAGTAACAAATGAAAAACGATGATACAAAATTACTCTTACTCAAAAGACCATTGATATAATATAAGTTGTGGAACAAAACATAAATAACAGTTTGTAATGAAATATGTAAGTCAATATCCGACCTAACGACAAATTGTAAGTGTGCCATTTAATAACGAGGGATACTATTGCTTATTCTGTCATTTTATATTTGCAATGCTCTCAAATAAAAGTTGAAAAAAATCAAGAAAGTAAAGCCATATGACGAAGAACAGAAGGCTGATGGGATAAAACGATCATCTGAGAAACTTGGGCCCTGCTGTTCTTCACCAGATTTTCCTCCAGGATAATTTAGAATTTACACTATCTCAGGATGCGTTAAAGGAACATGAACACAGTTTCAGCTAAAAAATTTCACACAACCCTTCCTCTTCCCCATTTTTTGTGTTTATAAATACTTAACTAAGGTAATTTTAAAGATAAGGAAAAATTTGAATTTCAACTGTCGAGATTATATACAAGACAGATTTTGAGCTCAAAACCTTTGTTATGTGAAAAGACCCGCACTATGTTTTTAATTACAGAGGTTAAATATATGAATATGTATTCGTCAAAAGCAGATTTATTCAGTAAAAAAGTTTATTCTAAATAAGATTAGACAGTTTCTAGTGATTGGTTGGATCTCGATTTGTCATAAATATGATATTTTCTATATGTAAACATAATCAAGGCAAGAGCTTTGATTACATGATAAAGATATCGTAGTTTTGTATCTCATTTGTAAATCAACATATTTTTGCTGATCATTTGAATTGCCTTAATTAGAAATTGCAAACATCAAAACTGATTTTTTTAAAAATCAGTCGAAACAGTGTCCATGTTCCTTTAACTTAAGTTTTAGCATTTCTGTCCCAGAGGTTCTTGGGAAGAAGATTTTTAAAGATTTTTCCTACATATGGTCCCGCCCTACCACCCCAGGGGGGGTCATGAAATGAACAACTTAGAATCTACACTACCCCAGGATGCTTCAACAGCTTCTTTGGCCCAGCGGTTCTTCAGAAGAAGATTCTTAAATGACCCGACTCTATTTTTGTCTTTTTATGACGGAAGACCCCGTTACACAATCATTAACGGTAAGATGTATAAAAATTTTTACTTTGAAGTTCAGCCAAGGTTCAAGAAATCAATCATTACTTTGTTCGCAATGTCTTCCAGTAAAACCTGTAGTACAGTTGCAGTTAGCCGCAAGCTCCCCAGCGCAATATCCAGGATAACACCTTGTGCTATCACTCCTCCAAGAACAGGCCTCTGGAAAAATGTTTAAAACTCCTTACTACAAATTAATCGAAAGATTAAAGTTTTATATTTTGTCAAACAAAAATTGTGACTGAAATATTTTTTGCTGCCTAACTCCAAGCCAATTTTCAAAATTTACAAAAAAAAATATGGCCAAATTTCCATAAGTATTGAATTAAATCGATTGAAAATGGAGGCGGATATCAAAGTAAGCGTATGAAGTTCTTTGTTCTTTTTACTTTAGTACAAAAGTATGCATTTCATCGAGGTATTTTTTCGCTCTTCATTCTAATCTGCGTTTTGTTCAAAGATGATTGGTTGAAGGATAAAATAAAAAAAAAATAGGTGTAGTTATAAGTGAATTTTAATTTTTGTTCTATTTATTTTAAGAAAAACTTCATATCTACATTCCTTGAAATCATGACCTGAATATTTTAAGTATATAGGTGTGTAAGATCCACGACCAAATGTTCTTTTATGGAAGAAGCATGTCTACTGTAGAGAGTTGAAGACCTATATTTAGGTTTCTTGGTATTGGACCACAAATAGACGATTTGGAGAAGAGCAGTTACATGTTTTAGAACACTACTGCAACTGACTACATGGCGGTTTGTCAAGGCCCATGCGTAAATGTCATGTACATGCTGTTAATTTTCACTAATTAAAATTAACATCCAAGAAGACGGTAAATGAACGAAAACTGTAAAAAAGAATGAAAAGTTTAGAAAAGAACGAATGATGGCCCAGAATCTTATGTAATGCGTAAAGAAACTCGTTTATAAAATGCCTACTGATCTTTTGAAGTTTTTAAAAAGCTGCAGGAAAAAATTGTTAGAAAATTCACACCTTATCACTTTTTTTATGTTACTAAAAAATCTGAAATAACATAATATATCAACATTTATAGCATATGAATGAAAAAAAGAAAATTGAGTTCGTTTAAAAAGAAATATTCACAATATTTAAATAATTTCAGTCAGTTAAAAAATCAACAGCTCTATTACTTTTCTATCTTGAATGATATTCTAAAATAACTTACGTTGGCACGTTTTTCTATCATCACTTCTTTTATAAGCTCTATGATATGGGATATCCATTACAACTCCATCACAATTGGCACAAATTGTGGAAGCAGCAGTTTCATTACAGTGCATCTCAAGACAATTCGGAATATTTGGACAGGCTAAAATATAGATACATATGAATGAGAGAAACGCAACAAGCTTGCTAATGGAAATATTTTGATACTATGGATGAAAAAAAAAAAAAATAAAGATATCTTCAACTTTTGAATATTTAACAATTGAATGATTTCCATTGTCCCCCTTCAAATTTCCCGACATAACAAAAGTTATAAATCGCAAGTTTAACAAAATATATGGAAAAAATAAGTGTTTATGTTCAACGTAAGTAATGGTCAAAATCTTTACATGTACATGAAAAGAGGAAAACACTTGCTGTGGCCTTCAGGTCAACTCTTACAACCAAGGTCTATAATAAACGAGATGAATTTAATTTTTCTATCGTCAACTTCCCTTACTTATGCAGCAATACACCTTTATCACCTGCATACGGAGTTTATATATCTCAGTTGATTCGATAGGCAAGCACATGCTCTAAGTATGAACAATTTCTAAAACGAGGTCAATTGACAAACAAGTTGATGAAACAAGAATTTCAACTGTCTCGTTTAAAGTCATCATTTCAAAAGTTCTATGGTCGATACAATGACCTTGTCAGGAAATATAATTTATCATTGAGTCAAATGATGACTGGTATCTTTCATACTAAGAGTTAGTTCATTATTTATACACTGAATTGACGACGGATTTTTTCCGTTATTTTCTTATCATGACAACGAGCACACGGCGGGTGAGACCGGTCGGCAAGGGATGCTTACTCCTCCATGGTACCTGATTCCACTTCCGATGTTTCGGGGGTCCGTGTTTGCTCTGCTCTTATTTTGTAGTTTTTCATGGACTTTTATGAATCTTGAATACTGTTCGTTATCTCCATATATTTCATCAATATTTCGATAAAAAAGTTCTTGTCTCTTTTCCGTAAATGCTGTTTTGTTTCATTTTTTAAAAGTGTCGAAGGGACAGGCCCCCTGTACACACACCTGGTTTTATATGCCTGAAAGTTATAGCTTCACAGATAGAATTATTTGCATCAATTTGAAATTTTCTGATCTATTTTCAATCAAATGAAGAAAAAATAAATCCTTTTGTTCACTTGGAAATTAACGCGCAGTTGAATAATATAGATTTTGTTTCTCAACAAAATATGATATCAACCAATCAAAGAGCTAGTAGTTCTTCACTCATTTAATAAAACAGGTAGCTTCAATGTTTGACAAAATAAAAATTTCGTATTACCTGTGCACCAATGTCCATTATTGTAATAATATTTGTTGCATTTGACACAGCTTCCTGGAGATTTGCATTCACCATCTGCAGTTATATATTGGTGACCACCTTTAACAGAGATCCATTGACCTTGTCTACATGCCCCTTGGTACGTTGTCTTCCCTCCGCATAATGCTAAATAATATTGAGGTAGATCAGTAGTTTAAAATTACCGTAGTTGGACTTCAGTATGTCATATGCAGGTTCTTGTGAAGACACTGTGTACTGAAATATATATGGTTTTTTATGCCCCCGTAATCAAAGATTCGGGTGTCTGTTTGTCTGTTTTTCCGCATACTGTTGACTGGATGGAACTTTGGCTTTCATATTTCACAGGTGTAAACCTTGTGACAAGACTTTTCGTTAGGTATCACCCAATTTGACCGTTTGACCTGACCCTTGAGTTTGACCCACTTTTATCAGAAATTTTCTAACTTTAATCATAGCCATAAATTTTGAATATTTGAAGCAAGGGCTTTCATACTTCACATGTGTATTCAATGTGAAAAGACCTTTCATTGGGTATAAAAATATTTTACCTTTGACCTTGAACTTAGAGTTTGGCTACTTTTTGTACTAAGGCTTTCATATTTCACAGATGTATTCCTTTGGACAAGACCTTCTTTTGGATACTAACAATTTTGGACCTTTTGGTCTTGACCTTGGAGTATATCGTGCACTTGAGAAATTTCAACCCTCGCCATAAGCTGCCATACAGGGGCATCAGTGTTTCACAAACACATCTTGCTTCTAAAATACATTTTGTAAACAATTTCACCGTGGTTGATTATATAAGAACTGAAATAAGATAACCAGACAAGAACTAGTATAGAGTAGTTCCATTCAAATTTTATTTAGCATAGCCTTGGCTTTGAAAAGTATGATTTAGTTCACAATTTATTCAAATCCAAATCTTCATTTAAAAAAATATTTTTAACCCTGGGCCATACGCATCTATAACCATTTAAGTTGAGATTTTTTTTTCCAAGAAATGAATCCAACCATTAAAATTAAACTATTGTTTCAGAAGAAATATAATATCTATCATAATTAAGATTGAATTGCACACCATTCAAGAATTTGAATGGTTATTATGAATTTTGATTTTAATGTAGAGTTACTTTTTGCTTGTTTACGAAGGCGTGAGGACAACGAATATAACACTACAGCTAATATAAGATAGAATATAGAAAACTTTACCAGCACAACAACGAAATGAGATCCATCCATAGCCAGGGGAGCATCTATATCTATACGCCGTCTTGTCTCTATAAAAGAGGAAAAACAAAAATAATCATAAAATAAGCTCTGATCCTCTGACCATGCTTCCCCAAAAAATTCCTCTTTGTATGTTTGATAACAAGTTTTCAATAACTGTGTTAACAAGCAACTGGTCTTAAACAGTCTGATAATTTCACATATAGAACAGTGTTCGGCATATATCTATTATAATAGATATAACATTTTTGAAAAGAAGGTTAAACTTCAAGGTCAAAGTTTTAGGGTCAAAAATCATAGTATATGTAGAAAGGTCTTGTCATAGGTAATATACAAGAGCAATATGAAGGCCCTATCTTTTCCTCTTTCAAAAGGTATGACCAATTTAATTTAAAGTAATGTTACGTAGGGAAACGAGGACAATACTTATAGTGACTGCGATATAGTGAATACTTATAGTAATACTTATAGGGGGCAATTATATGAGGGTCTTTCATTAAGTAATGCAATATACAGTTTATCATTTCAAATGTAGAAGTTTTTTTTTTCTCAGTCAAAAACTTAAATCTATCAAAGAATTTTAAACTCCTTTTCCCTGAAAACTACGTTTTCGTAACCCAATTAAAAATCAGGGGTATATAGTGATGGGAGTGGCCGTCCTGTTACGCTTTGTTGTATCCATCTCTTAGCTGCAACTCTTCTTATACCACTGAATGAAATTTAATGAGACATTCGTAGAATTTTTGTTACATAGTGCCATTGTGCACCCTCCCTTTTACTTTTTGATCAGACACATATTTTGGGTTTCCTATAGCAATACATGGAAACTGCCATTCTTTCTTTAATATTGAAGGGTACTCATCTCTTATCCGCAACTCTTTCTATACATGTGTATCACTGAAAAAAGGAGATGGGTGAACATGACGAGAGATAAGCCCATAGCGCGACAAACATGAAGGTGAAAAATTAAATCTCAATTTTATCAAAATTTTCCTTAATATTTCACCTAACATAAGAGTATACTTTATGTAAAATCTCTACAACTTGCACAGATCTTATGAAAATTGAAATTATTTGCCTATGAAATATTATACACACACACGAAAGAGGACAAAACGAGTCATTTTTTCACACTGTAACACTATTTTACGTTATGAGTGGGTCTTCTCCATTTTTTTGAAAGGTAATCCTCAAAGTTTGCATAAAAACATACATATTTTGGAGCAATGACCCACTATACCTTTAAAATATAAGTTTATGACATAACTTAAGTCATATCACAAACATGATTTAAATGCCACATTTCATCAGGACTTGTGTAGCGTAGTGGTTAGCGTGATAGTCTCAATAGAGAATGCAACTCAGGATTTTTATTGCCAGGGTTCAAACCCAATGGATACCACATTATTTTTCTTTATAAAAGAATAAATTTTAACGAAAAATTTTCCTCAAAACTTTTTGTTTATCATGATTTTACAAAAATCAATGATGAGAACTTTACTCTAAATACTAAAATCACAATTTGAATATGATTTTTTATATCTGAAGCTTGTGGGTTTTTTTGCACGCTAAGTTCACCCATCTCCTTTAATGATACTTTCACTGATTCTTTAATACATAATATCATTATGCACCTCCTATTTTACTTTTTGATCGGACACATATTTCGGGTCTCCTAGAGTCAAACAAGAACTTCGCCATTATAATCATAAGGGAGGCGGAGTTATCATTAAGTGAGCTCAGTGCTCACAGTACCTCTAGTTCTAGTTTCCTACTTTCGCCACAAAGAAAATCATTTTTTGAAGTAAGCATGTTCACTACACTGAGCTGATAGATGATAAATTTGCCTCTATCAAGAAGATAAAAATGAAATCATATTTAAATACTGTGCTTCGTTACAAAAATTGCTGAAAAACTAGTGTAAAGATATCTCTTTGATATGTGGAAATAGTAGTCTTTTACGCTGTACAGTTTTCAAACGGATAAAGAAATTCAAAGTAAAAAAAAATAAAATAAAAGATCGCAGTCGAACTGGATATGATCGAATTCATCAGGGACACAAAACCATCTATGCTGTGAGCAACAAAATATCTGAAAATGCAAAATTTACCATCCCTTATGTACATTAAAATAAAGTCATTGCTAGCATACTGGTCAGAGTATCGTTTTTGAACGTGGGTAGGGGTGCAGCCAGAGAAAACATATTCAACTTATCTGGAAAAAACTTTCACAAGCAAGAAAGAGGGAAAATTGTCTAAATTCGAAAATTCTACTTCGTTTAGGAATTTAGGAGTTTAAAAATGTAATTATTTATTGGCCCTTATCGTCTATAGTCAAAAAACCTCCAAATATGAAACACATGCTGCAGATTTTGTGGCGTCTTTTATTTCAATTATGGTGTAATTGATATCATGGCCTTTCCGCACTGTATTTAAATTTTGCTTCTAGAAAGTGGTCTTCAAATATTTTTTATAAGAATAAAGTATGGTACCAGGTATACTCTTATTCTGTGTAACATGGACACCTTAAAAACTGAGACAAAAAAAGGTTTAAATTACTTAAGATGATTAATCGTGTGACTATTTGCACCTAAACTTCTGAAAATTCTCTGAATTTACAGCAGTCAGAATATAATTTGTACATATTCAGGTCGAAGTTATTTGACATATTCAAAAAAGAAAATTATGCGTAGGATGTTTTATAAGACATTACAAAAAAAAAATAAACCTTGGCCAGAATTGGACGATTTTTATTGACTCTCACAATAAATATTTATCTATTTGTCACAATACGATGTAAAACTCCAAAATGTTTAATTTTATATGTTTTGGAAGATCAACCAAATTAACTAGGTGCATAAAACAAATGCCTGCATGGAAATCTCGGGAGCTAAACGTAACAGTACTGTACAAAACTTTGAAATAAAAATTGAAACATTTCCTTCTAGAAAACCTTCCGCCACAAAATTTTGTAAAAACAATTTAATGTTTTTGTTTAGATTTTAAATGTGGGTTTTTATTGTGTATAATTTAATTGGCATAATGGAACCAACATACATTGTAAAAACCAAGAAAAGATACTTAAGTTTCAGTCTAAATGTCCTGACAAACGTCTTCTCAAAATCTCAGGATCAAACCTCCTCAAAAATACAATAGAATTTTGGTTAGGCATTGGCCTGAAATTACCTTGTTTTTGAGCATCTCCACCATTTTCCCCATTCACCACATTTTGTATAGTAAATCGTTGATGTCCGATATGCCTCCAACTCCACGTGACATCTGCAAAGACGAACAATTATAGTGATGAGGAAACTTAAGTTTCAATACAAATCTGGCCTAGATTTTTCTTTAAATATGAACATGATGATAGTTATGTAAGAAAATAAAAATTATGGCTTTCTGATGTGTTGAAATTCCATACAACACGATACAAAACTATGCGATAATTTTCATATAATATTTTAAATGGTGTGACCTCATGCATAGGCTTATGCACTTTCCAATATTTTTTTTCTTCGCAAGTTGCAAAACACATCAATTTTCAGTGAGTTTTCTTTCAGACAATATAGAAAACATGCATATCCCACGGTATTTTCAGATAATTGATTTCTCATAACGTTGTGTATATCATAATTAAAAATTGAAATAAACGATATCAGTGGACACTATTTTCGTACTTCAAATAACCCTGGTTGGGGTCGTTAAAGGGGCCATTTTAAGCCTTCAGCGTTTATGCAAATTATCGTACAAGCCAATTGCTTGATTACATCCTGAAATAATGAAGCAAGTTATGTTTGTGAAACACCGATGCCCCCGTATGGCAGCTTTTGCTGAAAGTCAAAGTTTCTCAAATATGCAAATCAAACTTCAGGGTCAAGGAAAATAGAAGAAAAATTTTTTCTTTAAAAAAGGACTTGTCTCCATAATTATATCTGTAAAATATAAAAATCCAAGTACACATTATTCAAAAGTTATGGCCAAAATTACACTTAAAATGTGGGTCTCCAGGCTCCAAGGTCAAGGGGTCAAATAAATAGTACCTAGGGGAAGGCATTGTCATTAGAAATATACATGTGAAATGTTAAGACCCTTGCGCCAACTGTTCAAAAGTTATGGCCGAGGTTAAGTTTTTTTTTAAATAGGTCAATCTCCAAGGTCAAAATGTCAATATTCATTTGTAAATATCTAAACAAAGGTTTTGTCAAAGGGAATTCATCTGTGAAATATCAAGGCTCTAATACTAACTCTTTAAAAGTTTTGGTCAAGGTAAAACCCTTTTTAAGTGGTTCAAACGCAAAGGTCAAGGTCAAAAATATTTATATTTTCAGAAAGGTCTTGTAACAATAAATTGAAATGTTAAATATAGAAACCTTAGTACCAACAGTTCAAAAGTTATCGCCAAGGCTAAAATTGACTTTGTTTTAGGAAAAGTCGGTCAAACTCTAATTAAGGTCAATTTCATTAGGTCAAATATGTTTGTACCCAAAAGAAATCGTGGCACAAAGAATACACATGTTATTGTTTTATGAATTTTTGAGCTTGAATACTAGGCAAATGCTCGATCTACTGAGTAATTCATTGATTAATAATTAGATTATTAAGTAATCAAAAAAGGAATTTCAGATGTAATATTGTATTGTCTCACTGATATTAAATGATTATGAAAACTCAACCTTTGAATGATCCTGTACATGTACAAGAACCATCAAAAACTTTTAAATTGTCAATTTATATGTATTACTTAATAATTTTTTACGCTGACTTATTTTATTTGTTTATATCAAATCCTTACCCCTGATATGAAATATCCAATAATGAAATCAAAAGAAGAACAATCAGTATCTTCCTCGCCATTTTGATCTGCGATCAAGAATGGCAGTTTTTACCGTCCTCCAAACTTCTTCCTGGATTTTAAATGCTACTGAATGCATCATGCATGCAGTTCGTTTGAGTGTAGATCAGACCTGTTAGCCCAAATTAGGCATTGGTATAAACATTTTTTATCATTCTTATTAAATTAGAAAATAATAACTAGACAGTATCAGTAGTGTAAACTACCGCTCTTCTTCAACTGAAATGTACCATTTGAGTTCATAAGATATATTTATAAAAAAAAAAATGGAATGGCCATAAAGCACATACAACCTGTACAAAACTATTCTAAAAATACGAGGATTTAAATTAAATCGTCAAATAATGGTGAATATCGGAGGTTACATTAACCTTGATGTTTGAAATACGTGTAATATGTCACTGAATCATGCTTATGAAACACTAAGTAGAGTTATCATCTTTAAATGTATCAAGCCATCCCAATTGACACTTTACACGAACTAAACAAAATTATTATTTTAATGGTATCAACAGTATTTTGTATAATGAAAAAAATTTCAAGGTTGCTTGCACATATTTTCATATTCTTTAACTTGGTCTTATATGACCCTATGTCACATTTTCGTCACCCGAAACATTTATAAAAGTAAACGGTTATTTTCATGGCAGATTTTTGGGACAAAGACCAGACAATAAATACTTTTTCAACGCTTTTTTACTTTGACATTTGACATACCATCCGGAGGAAAGATCTTTTTAGTATAAGCTACATATACTACTTTCTGATTTTCCAAATAAACTTTGTCTGAGAGATAGAGAAAGACAACTATTGTAAACTATGAAATTGCTCTCACCCAAACAGCTTCAAAAATACATAGTGTGCCATATTTAAGGACCCTCTTTATATTGCCGAAAGATTTTGTTTAGAATTTTTAAAAATACATTGTATATCGAATACAAAATATAAAAATGTTTTCTGCTTGAGATTAATGGTTGTCATTCTCCCCTTGGAAAAAAATAACTAAGAGAAACAAAGTATTGATAAAAGAAATGATGTTGTTTACTTAAATGGGGTATATCACATGCATATAAGAAATCAAATACTTGTCTTCGTTAAATATATTTTAAATAACATGAATTTAATTTGAACTATTTGCTCGCTAAAGTTGCGGAGTCGAATTGATCCTTAAGCCACGGGTTTGAACCTCAATGCATGACATGGAGACCGGAAAAGACAAAGATCCAGCGTCGCAATAGGTGTGTACCCCAAAAAGAACTCATACAGTTCAAAAACTGTAAAGTACAGGTCTAAATTTGCAGCCCTCCTTCGGCAAGTTGTGAATGAAACATATGGAGATAACAAACAGTATGTAACAAAAGTCCACAAAACAAAACGAAATATGAGCAGAGCAAACACTGACCTCCAAAACATCAGAAGTTGGATCAGGTGTCATGGAAGAGTGAGCATCCCCTGTCAACCAGTCACACCCGCGGTGTGCTCTTTGTCATGTGAAGGAAATAACGGAAAAATCCGTCGTCAATTTAGTGTTTAAATAATGGAATACAAATGGTTATGAAACGGCAGTCACCTTTTGACTCAATGATAAATGTATTTGCTGCCAAGGTCATTGTATCGACCTTATAACTTACGAAATGATGACTTGAAACGAGACAGCTGATATTCCTGTTTCATCAACTTGATTGTCAATAATTGACCTCGTTTTAGAAATTATTCATACTTAGAGCATGCTATTGCGTATCGAATCAACTGAAAGATATAAAATCCGTATGCAAGTGATGAAGGTGTATTTCTGCATAAGTAACGGAAGTTGACGACAGAAAAGTTTAAGTCATCACGTTTATTAAAGAGTTTGGATTTTAGATTACCATTAGCGTATTTTTCAAGTAAAATATCCAAATATAAAATAGATGTGTCAGATTGTGGTATCTTTTATCTCAAGCTCATCAGGATATATCATGTCGACATAACAATGGAAATAAATATATTTAAATGTGGAGTTGAGGGCCACAGCAAGTGTTTTCTTCTTTTCATGAATAAGAATAAAAAATTGTCGAAGAAATGCTTTAGTTAATAAATTAAAAAAATCGAACTTTGAGTTTCATGTTAGATTTTTACATTTAAGGTTAGGTACCACTTTAAATGCAGTACCATCATCACTACCATGACATTGGAACTCTTAAGTGTGTAGTGTATACTTATAGATAGTCATTTAATCATGTATTCTACTTCTCATTAAAGCTTCAGAAGTTTTGCGGAACAAAAATTTAAAACAACGGCTGCAACGATGTTGACCTTCAAAATTTGTTCCATGTTAACCCTCCAATAAGCAATTTAAGCTGAGAACTACCCGTAAATAGCCAAACTCTGTATAAATTGTCCTATTTCCATTACAGATCTTGATACAGTAAACGCTTAAGGATTTGTAATCGTTGCACCTGATTGCTTTCTGGCTACCTGCATGAACTTGACGACACGCAGCTTACAATGCATTTGTGTACATTTTACCGCATTAAATCTGTATTCAGTTGGTTATTGCCTGTATTGCCTTGCATGTACAATAAATGTAAAGACAATGATAATTTACGATTGCTTTATTTAGTATGCAACAATAGACTAAGTTTTTAGAACTTGTGCCCAATCCCATTGTATATATTTAATGCAATAAAATATGTTCAAATGTACAATCAATGTCAAATTTCGTTGGTAACACAATTTCTCCTGCCATTAAAAAAAAGTACACAGTGGTTATTTTTTTTTTATCTCGACTGTATAGTGCCCATGTATAATAGCAATATACAAGAAATGTGAAAGCTGAATCCAACAATGACATGCCGGGGGGTATTGTTTTGGAAAGTACAAACGTACAAAAAGGCAAAAAAGAATAAAAGGGGCCTTATTAAGTACCTGTTCATATTCTTTTGTAGCTAAAAAGATACATGTATGAGCCAATATGTATCGACAAACTTCTTAAATGAATAATTCTGGAAAAAAAATATCTGCAATCAGGTAAACAGTATAAAGGAAGTATGTTTTTGGACAAGGAATAGATAAATCGACCCCAAATACCAACGTTTGCACAAACTGACTCTGGTAACATGCAACAATACGCAAATCTATATATCCCCGATGTTTCAGATAAAATGTATAAGCAACTAACATTATTTATCTGCTTAAAGGTATCATTTAATTTTGAAATTTTTCATGCAAATACAAGTCCTTTTTCTCTATTCCAGCAATACTTTATTTGTTAGGAATTCAGTTATCGGGTAGGCATGTAGTACTATGTTTTCCATAGTATTCTATATACTATATAGAATACTATAGAAGACATATTACTACATGCTTGTGCCTCCTCATAAATAACATCATCTGATGAACTTTTCATGTTTGATTGTGCCCTCCAAAGTAAAATTGCTTACAAAGATGAAAAAATGAGTATAAACACATAAAATAAGTAACTTATTTAATAGATTTGTTTACCCTATAATTCAAAAATAAATATGATCAGTGACTGTACACATTTCTTATGCAACGTCTATTTATGAATAGATTACTCTAAATACATGATTGTGCTTTTTAAAGTAAACAATGCACCTTTAGAATGCAATTTTTTTTCTGCAACAAAAACATGCCAAATAACGCACAATTTATAAACAACGGACGAGGCAAACAGGTATTATTTTCTAATTATTTTACAACAATCTTGTCTACAAAGCATCACATGGATTCTTTATGCATAAGTATTTCTTAATATATTGAGACATTGTAAAGACAATGATAATTTACGATTGCTTTATTTACATGTTTCTTTAGTATGCAACAATAGACTATATAATTTGGCATAGTGATCCTATCGAATTACCTGAGCGCAAGCGATCATTGGTCTATTTTCACTGTTTTATCGGGAATCAAAAGGCATGCTCAAATAAATTTTTTTAAAATAATATTTAGCCATAATACATATCCCTTAATATTTTCTTTGTTGTCCTCGTTCTTTAACCTGTCCAAATACTTATACCAGTTCAATAGAAAATCGTTGAATTAGTCATTCGAGTCCGAATAATTCTGATGTATTCCACAAAAAAAATTCATAGATAAGTATTGTATATTTTTATTTTTTAAAAGTATTTCTAGATCTTTTTTTTCTTTTTTCTTTTATAACAGAAAAATCCACAAATATGGATTGATAAGATTTGCATGGACCACGATACTCCAATAAATCATACTGTTTCCCCCCTTAAAACTTTATTTTTTTTAATGTATATGCCTTTGAGAAATTCAATTCAAATCAATTTCTTTCTTGATTTAGAAATAAATGTTTTTAAATTTAGTGTGAGTTATTGGTTAGCTAGTGCGCTTCATAAAATATGCCTACGTGACAAGTCTTTAACTTTTTAAATTAGATAAGATTTCGATCTTTCGATGCTGAGTCGGCAACGACAAATAAAATCAGTGTACGATCCTAAAAGAATTGAAGGGAAATCCCCTTGGTTTTCAAGTTATTCATGTTGGTTACTAGAATTTGAATTTTCATTGATTTATGTCAGTCAACACTTAAAAATGACATTAAGGTTTCTTCAAAGGTCAACATGTCCAAAAATTTATTTTTACAATAGCCCCAAAACAATGTGGGGTATGAAGTTAAAACTTTTACAGTTTATAAAATTATCATTGATTAACAGAATGAAAGTATCTCTTGATAAAAAGAATACATGGAAAAAACGTTAATTGAGAAAAATTATTCTTAAAAAATGCATATATTTTCAAAAAATACACTTAATTAATTCCGCGCTCTTAGTGAAAACCATTATTGCAGAAACAAAATATGTTTATCAATGAAGGGCAAGTTGGACTTGGATAGCCTCTGGAAAGTTATTTTACCTGTTTATTTTGTCCAAATGTTAAGACTTGAAAGTGAAAGTACATTGCAAATGGAGTATTTTATAGGGGTCTTGTCTTTATACATGTCATGCTTTCAATAACAGTCTTTCAGAGACCATTCACGTCCAACTTGCCCTTCAATGATAA